TTGCTTTACATCCTAGGTAGAAAAACAATCAATAACTTAGAAAAACTCATCATTGCTTGCAGGACCATCTCAGAAGCATGAATTGCACAAAGAAAATTAATTTCTCTTTTTCAGTGCAATAACACTCAACTTCTCCCCACCTTCCCTGCATTTTAAATGGATCTCAAAAATTAGCATGTTAGAAAAGCTTGAGCTCATGCTACGAACCCTTTGAATATTAACATAATTAATGTCATCAGTAATACTCCGAGTTTGTAGAAACAGCAGGTGAATCAATGGGAATGATGCATTCATCCAAGAAAAGAACGTGACCTTTAAAATCCATGGGGCTTTATCAAAACGCAATTTTAAAGTGGGTTGCTTGTAGCTCAGTGGAAAGAACAAAACTGAAAGTAACTAAGGAGAAAGCTATAATAGAGACACCACAAACACAAGGGAAACTAAAAATACAACTGGAACATAAAACACTGAGACCTCTTTACAGAAGATGCCCCACCTACATCAAAAGGTGAGACAGCTCATAGGACAGCTTGAGAAGCCACTCCAAGGAATGCTGTGACGAAGGAGAGGCAATTAAAAGAAGAATATTCCCGCAATTCAAATCTGGCTGGAGAGAGATTTTTTATCCAGAACACTTAAAATTAAGTTGTATGCTTTAAACCCCAAAACACTTTGGAATAAGTTTGCCCACTTTTTCGTTTTAGTACATCAAACAATTTTCGTTTCTGCAAGTGAACACTGAAAGTGATTCAGCGCTTGAAACAACTTCATTTCGTCTTAACTACTTCAGAACATTCAGTCATTTCAACACAGCTGAACTATTATGATAATATTTCAAAGTTCTCAGCAATAAGTGAACTAGAGGGAGTTTCATGGAAATAATGTATCAAGGGGTTCTGGTGAACAACTTCATTTTCATAGATGAGGTTGTAACCAGAAGCCCTCGGAGGAATTTACCTCCCTGTAAATCATTATGGCCTATTTTTCTTTACCAAGCTGAAACACAGGATGTCACGACAGTCATGCAACAAAATTAACTTTAATGGAATGAGGCATTCTGAACCTTGATATGCCTCTTTATTTCATACTATTATTCAATTGTTTTAAAATATGCATTATATTGGCTTGCTTATAAAAGAAAGCTTGGCTTGATTTCATGTCACTTTTGCAACACTGGAGAAGTGGATTTTTCTTCCATGTTTTAAAGGATCTTCACACTTCCCCATACTGACAGGGCACGGACCTGAGCAGAGGGACAAAGACTCCTTTGATCAAATTTTTAAATGGGATAAACATGGCTGCTTAGCTGGTGTTTTCATAGAGTTTCACTTGAATGACCTGTAGCCTTGTGTGAAGTGTGGAAAAAAAACCCTAAAAGGCTTTAAAAAGGCAGCACCGTTTGTGGCCAGTCGACGCCTTTGTTCCTTGAAGGCCTCTGCAATGATTCTCTATTGAGAGAAGGGATGTTCATTGAAAATGGCATAGCTGAGCATCAGCAGGTTCCCCTGCTGTTCGGTTTATCTATCCTCTGAACTCCAAGCAACATCTCAGTCTGAAAGTGTCCCCCTGGTAAAATAAGCAACTGGCAAAATGCAAAAGCCTAGATGACTTCCAACTGCCAGTGCTTATGTTGTGACTACGTGCTTTTCCCCCATTAATGTTTAATTTCTCTTTTTTCTCCTTCACCTCATGTCTCTTCTTACAGAGAAGCACCAGCTAGCACACCAGCCTATTGAGCTCCAAAGACTACTTCCAATAATCCACAGATTTATTCGATTCATGTATTTTAGAAGAATATGTAACCTACCAGAGGTATTAATACATCCTATACTTCTAAGAACAGATCTGCAGATGGGAAATTGATGGGAGTTGGGGCTTTGGCACGAACTCATTCACTGCACTACCAGTTTGCACAGCTTCATGCTGTCACTGTCATCTACCTTGGGCTACCCCTCCACAGACGGGAGACGAATCCTGTAATTTAACTAGAAAGACAGGATGTCCCACTGAATAGGCAGCACACTATGGCTCAGCCACTAATAACTCCTAGTACTATACTGTGCTTCAAAACCTTCAAATAATGTTCTCAAACTAGTTTTTTAATAACTGCCTATTGTAGAGACTATGGGAAATAAGCATGAAGACTTGCCCATAGCAACGAGTCAGTAAGAGAAGAGGAAAGAGATGTCAGGAGGTGTTTGGCTTCAAGTCTGGTGCTTCAACAGACAATACTGCCTCTCTCTTTAGGCTGCCAGGGACTGTGCACTCTGGCTAATGGAAGCTCTTACTCTAACTTGGAGTGACTGTGCCGTAGCACAGATTGCTGCAATCATGCTACGGAGTGGGTGCCAGTAGTTCCCTTCACTCCGTGTTTTTCTTGCTTTTGGTGGTTTCTCATTCACCCTAACTAGAAAGCAGGGTGGTTCTGAATCACTGCCAAGCATTACTAATGGAAGTGGGGGGCAGGAAGGAAATAAAGATGACTGCTTGCAGAATTATAAGTACTTTTTAGTGTCTAAAATGGCATATTAAAGCAGGACGAAAAATAGATGTAATAGCTCTGACAATAGAAGCAAAATGCTTCTAGCTAGAAAAATGAGTAAATGTCTGAAACTTATCAATAATGTTCTTGTTCATTAAGACAACTTAAAAACACCACATATATAAAATAGGAGAGTCATGGGGAAAATACTGTATTCGTTCCCTTCTTGGTTCATTTTAATTCAAACTGAGTTCCTGCGAAATGCTTAATTTCCTTTTCTTTTTCCTTTTAACTTTGGACACTCTAGCATATTTTGAGCTCAGACAGTGCTTCAACAAAGTCCACATACGGTCATGCTTAATATCACAGGTTGTTTGTTTCTTTGTTCATTTAAGACAAGCACTCAGCTACGTTAAAATATCTCCCCCACTCTCAAAATTAGAGATGCCCCTGACACTTGGTTTCTAATATCCTTTAATATACAAGGTTTCCTTCCACAAAATTTCATTAGGTGTAAAAGGGAGCCCAATGAACGAGCGGAAACACAGCACTTTTTCATGTATTCAAATTGTCCTCAGAATTGCCAGCTCCGGGAACTGCAGCAATAATTTTGTAAAATGTA